CTTTACCCTTGGTGCCTAGCCAAATGTCTGCCATATTTTAATAATTCAGTAAATAGCTATTAAGGAAATTTAAAATAAACTCTACTGAATGATGTATCTAAAATAATGGGACTAATTTATAGTAGTTGGTACAGATTTTTGAAAATGGTGTTAGAGGTTAGAGTGAATTCTATTTTGATGCAGAAATAGTGGGATAAAAATTAGAATAGGCACTGTACTAATTTCCATCTATTTGACAAGATGTATAGGATCATACAAAGAATACATCAATCAACATGGCCATGACTGTAGCTAAGTCTTTAGAAGGTAAAGGGATAAGAGTGTTAACCTCAGCAACCCTTCAACTGTGACCAAGGTCTTCTTGGGCTTGGTAAATTAAGATCATAGAATATGTATCTAAGCATCAGAATTTATTTATTTATTTTTGATGTTGCTGGGATTTGAACCCAGGGGCTCCTATATGCTAAGCACATGTTTTATCACTTAGCTATGTCCCTAGCCCCTAAATGTCAGAATTTAGAGTTAAGTTGCAAGTGTCCACAGAATTCATTTGAAGTCAACTGAAATGCATTTTAGAATGCATTTTGCCTTGGATAGAAACAATGTTATAGATTGTAACTCAGAGCATAGTACTGTGTTCTAATTGCAGATGACAAGAATAGGCTTCCAGTGCAATGAGAGCAGATTCCTACCAAACCTGGTGACCCCAGACAGTACATTTCAAACTGGGAGTCAGGGTGAATGGTGACCAGGTAACAATGAGGGTAAGGAGATCAAAGTCCCCAAGAAGGACAGTGAGCAACTCACGTGGGTCTCTACATAATTCCCCACCCCCACTTTGTCCTGCTGAATAGGCTCTGATATGAGATGTGAAATAGCACTGGGTGGAAACTGCACATGCATCCTAGATTGCCCCTGTCAAATGGGAAGTAAGTGTAAAATGAGACAACAGGAAAAGAAAGTGAGTATGGACATCAGCTTGGGCAGCTATACTAGGCATTTGTAAGAAATTCATTCATTTGAAAGCCAGGTAGTAACTGGACAGTTTTGGCACTGGCCCCCAAACAAATACTGAAGCATGGCCCTGGTATCTTGTTGTTTACCCTGATTCTTCACTGTTCATTCTTCATGAACAGGATATTCTTGTTCCCCCAAAGTCTCTCCATCTTCTTTTGCCCCTCCCTTGCCCAAACTGATGAGGATGTCATTTCAGTTCAGTATAATATCATCACTAAGTGGTGGAGGTGGGTGGGGAGAGAATACACACAGCCAGGGGATGCAGGCGTATTGGATCCTTCAGATTGTTTGAAAACAGAGCTGACTATGGAACTCTCCCCCTGAATTTTGGATGTTTTAATTTCTGGAGAGATTGTGACAGTGATGCACAGGAGTTGAGACTAGTGAGGTAAAATAGAAAAGGGAAGAAATAAGTAAAACTCTAAGCAGTCCAGAGCATAGAAATGAATCTAAAAGCCTTATAAGAGAATTCATTTTAGTTGGAATGATGTACATTGCAGAAAGATAGGTTTTGTAATTTCCACAAATAACACCAAGGATGTCACTGTTTCCAATGTATTTATAATCCCTGGGTTATAATCAACTCTGTTCAGTGGAAATGGAAGAACATTTTTCTCTGGCAGACTCTAATAGCTGGTGGAATGGATGCTTAATGAGGTGAAGCAAGGAAGAGATGATAGTGTTGAGTTTAAGATTTTTTTTTTCAGTTTATGACTAGATAGCTTCATGTTAAATCACTTATATGCTCACCTTTAGTAGGGATGCAACATTTGAGTTGTTTTGCTAGGGGCAGTGACAATCAATGAATAACCATGTCTTGCCTATGTATATACAAGGGTTTTCAAAGCACTTATTTGAATGTTCACCCACAGACTCTTACCTTATATCCTAACCACAAACATCCACTTTAGAACTGGCAACCTCATAAAACCCAGTTCCAAGAATGAAATCGAAGAATACTTTGCAGTTTGAAATTAACTTTTGCACTATGGACTTAAACCTCCCAGAGTCACCTGAACAAGCACTGAGTTTCAAAATGTTTCAGGACAATTTTGAGTGGCATGATTAGAATCTTGAGGAAAAAAATGAGTGTAGGAATCCAGGGAGCAGGTAGTCTGAAGTTGCAGTGACTTTGAGTCTTCTGAGCTCCATCAGCACAAAGTCATTTGGACTGCTGATTTTCCTTTGGCAGTTCGAGTCTACAAGCCTGACTCAGATAAACTGGGTGCAGTAACCTTTTCACTAGGAAGTAAATGCTAGGAAGTGATGACATTCCTCTGGAATATGCTACACAAATATCAAGAGTAATCATTTGATGGGTAAGGTATTCAATCATTTGATAAAACCAACACCAATTAACCCTCCCAGACTAGGAAAGGGACTAATTTGTTATGCTTAGACATTAGATATACACTGAGGTAAAACCTCTTCTCAGCCAACAAACAACTTGGAGGATGGGAACATGTGCATGTGCCTTTTAGCATGGAAAAATATAAAACTAACATTGGAAAAAAAACTAATGTTTAAATAACATCTAATCGGATCACCCCTCTGCTCAGAAACCCTCAAAGGTGTCCTATAGCCAGTGGGTTTATGGTGCGAACTCTTCAGCCTTGCACTCAAGGCCTCACCTTGCTTTTCCATCTTCCTTCCCCAAGTCCCCTTCAGGCTGCTTTGGCCAGCCTGGACCTCTAGCTCTTTTAGGAATTTGGATAACCTGAACCAGAGCAATTTCCCCCAATTAAACGGGAAGTAAAAATGCTGCTATAGGCACCTGCAATGTTCTTTCCTACACCTGTCTGCCCGCCGCCCCGGCCCAGAGCTTCATTTTACCCGACTTTAATACTCGCCAGGCCCTGGTTTCCATCATAGCCTCTTTCCTCCTCTAGCGGTTTTCGAGCTCAAGTCTGCACCATCCTTCGAAGGATGCACTTTTCGAGTCAGGTCTGCGGTGTTACTGGAGTGAAGTCTTGAGGCAAAAGCAGAACGAAGGTATGTCCCCCAAAACTGAACTTCTCTCACCAAGTATTCACTTGCAACAGAGAAGAGGGTCGAGCTGGCCGGTCGAGCTGGCCAGATTCCATAGGAATCTCTCGATCTCCGAGATTTTCCCTCCCTGTGGCTTTACAAACTGCCCAATGGCCAGCTGCGGCGGGGATAGTTCGCGAGAGGCCGGCCAATGGCGGGCAGAGGGGCGGGCCTCGGTTGAGAACTGGCCCAGTGAGAGACGCGCAGCGGGGAGGTCCTTGTCGGCCGCGGCCCAATGAGAGCCCCTCTGGGTGGGGCCTGGCCGGCGGCTGGGTGGGGCTATATAAACCCGGGCTGCTGGCGGGACTCCGGGATTCGTGGTGGAGCTGGAGACTCGTAACGCGTCTGCAGTCAGCCACTCTCCACAAGCTTTACCTATCGGAGCAGCCATGGTGAGGGGGAGCTGGGGGCGCTCGAGGAGTCCACGGTGAGGGTGCTGCTTGCGGGGAAAGCTGGGGTCTGTGGCAAAAGCGGGCTTCGCGGGAAGGAGGAACGCCCAGGCAGTCCAGAGTGTGGGTGGGCTGCTCCAGGATGCGAGGGGTGTTTGGGTGGTGAGGTGAGCCTAGGGACGCCCGGGGAATCCAAGCACTGCTTTTCTGGGCCCCTTCCTTACGGGAGGCGGATACGACCGAGGAAAGTTCTGAACGTTCCGAGAGCACTACCCACTAGCCAAAGGTAAAGCGCCCGGCGTGGGGCAGGCAGGGCGAGAATGCTGAATGGCGGTTCCAGCTCTTAAGTGACTTAAGAGTTGGCTCCGCGGTGAAACGCGCCCTGTCGTCCGGAGCGGACCTAGGACCCGCCCCAAATTTCTCCCGCTGCAGTCCGGGACAAAGAGGTGCCCGCCTCTAGCTGCAATCCCCGCCTCCCGTAGAGAGCATTCTCCCGCGCAGAAGGATGGACCAGGAATGATTAGGGGATTCCAACAGGTTTCTCAAGTTGAGAACCCGTTTCCTGAATGCCTTTGTCTCAGGCGGCCAGCTCAGGCCAGAAGTCCACGCCTTTTGGCCCCATTACCTGACCAGGGGTTTCTGTATGCCCCTGGTACCTGGGGAATAAAAAGTTCTTTGCTCCAACTTCTCTATTTTGGTGTTCAAGGGCATGAGATTCCCTCAGTTAAAACTGAGAACTTGGTGTGTCCAAGTCCTCCGTAGGAATCTCTTGATCCTCATATCTGCCTGGAGCCCCCTTGAAGGCTCTGAGGCTACCTTTGAAGATAGTTCCTAAGACTCCTAAACTGTTGCTACCGTGCTCCTAGAAGGTCCCCTCTACATCTGGGAGGCACTCTTCCCTTTCAAACTGTCCGGACTGTAGGTTGGGGGTGAAGGACCAGAAGGGAAGATTTAACCATCGTAGAATGTACATCAGAGAAGACACTTGAAAGGTGGGGCAGGTCCCATCACTGGGACTCTCAGTGGTACTTCCTTGGATTAATCTATGTGTACTAAATGGATAGTGACAATGTTTAGACAGGTAATATCCCCTGAAAAAGGGAAAATTGTGGGTGAACTTTCAAAAACCTGACTGTAATTGCTTTAGTTAATTCACAGTTCTGAATTTGGTCTTCTGCCCCTTCAGCATATGGAGGAGATAAGAGAGCCACCTCTTCTCCCTAGACACCAGTATTTTGAGCCTAGTAACTCCAGATAGGCCCATCTTGAAATTCAGGACTCTGAGCTTTTCCCAAGACACCCCAGCCAGCAGAAAGGGCACTTTGCAGTGAGATATGGCTGCTAAGTTTTTACTTTCTCCAGTTACTAACCCCCAAAGACCTAAACATAATCACTTCTGAAAGCTTGGGAAGACAACCCTGTCCTTTGGGTTATATACTAGGTAACACACAGCTGCAGCCTTCAGGGGAGTGGAGAGATAAGGGGTGCTCCCAGGGAAGGCTTTTTTCCAGTGACATCTCACTCCCCACACTGCTCACAGAATGTCACTCTGTTCCCTGACAGCGTGAGTGCATCTCCATTCATGTGGGCCAGGCTGGGGTGCAGATGGGCAATGCTTGCTGGGAGCTCTACTGCCTGGAGCATAACATCCAGGCTGATGGCACCGTGCCCAGCAACAAGACCCTGGGGAGTGGTGATGACTCCTTCAACACCTTCTTCAATGAGACAGAGGCTGGCAAACATGTGCCCAGGACTGTCTTTGTGGACCTGGAGCCTGCTGTCATAGGTATGTGGGAAACCTGTATTCTTGCCAGCCCAGAGTGAGTGGAATGCTCTGCTTAGGGGGAAAGCATTTGGAATGCAGGCAAGAACAACACTGGAGTCTGGAGTGTTGCTAGATGCTGTCTTCAGAAGGGGACTCAGAGCTCCCTGTGCTGAGAGGGAGATCTTTTGCACAGCTCTTTCCAGAAACTGCCAAATTTCTGAGTCACAGGTCCGACACAGAATGAATCCTGCAGAAAGGAATGGATAACAACAGACCTGTTAAACTTCCTTTTCCCTACCCTCAGGCTTGTGATAGTATTGCCTAAGAACCTGGGAGCTGAGAACATTCCTAATAGCTCCCTGCTTAACTTTGCCTGAAATAGGCCCCTACTAGGATGTGGGTCCCTGAACTTGGCTGTTGCTAACTCCTTGGGCTTTACTGCTTCCTCCCTTCTGCATCTGGAGCTCCTTAGTTTCCTGTTTGTGAAAATTCTACCTCTCCCCCATCTTTCTAAAGATACTGTTTTAGATGTGAAACTGTGGAATGTTTTTTCTGCTCAAATCTATATTTTTACCCCACATAAAAGTTAGATGAAATTCCTCTGAACACTGATTCCTCACCAAGAAAAGAAGTGGCTATGATCAGAAGGAACTGTTAAAGGTGTCCCCTGACTTCCCCCTCAGGCCTAGGAAGTGGCTTCTGGAACCTCATGTGTCCATCACTCTTGTGCAGTTACACCTGGGAAGCTTAGCAGCAAAGGCTCTAGGTCCTTTTTGTCCTAATCTTAGGGAATGAGAACAGCCTCTTAACCTTTGCCCTCTCTCTTCCCCTCAAGATGGGGTAAGAACTGGCATTTATAGGCAGCTCTTTCACCCTGAGCAGCTGATATCTGGCAAGGAAGACGCTGCAAACAACTATGCCCGAGGCCACTACACTGTGGGGAAGGAGATCATCGATCTGGTACTGGAGAGAATCCGAAAACTGGTGAGCATGACCAGGTGCCCCTGGCACCTGCAGGAGGTCATGGCATCCTTAAGCTCCCTTCCTGGCCCGGGGAGCTGAACATGTACTGCCAGAGTGGAACCACCGGCTATGGCTGGTACCTAATATCATTCCTCTCACATGTCTACCAAACTTCCCCTAGGGGGAGCTGTGTGTCCTGTGCTGGGTGTGGGTTTAGGGTGGAGGGCGGAAGAACTTGCTCTGTCCTGCTGGTTCTTGCTTACCAGGTCTGACTCTCTGGTCCAAGCCTTCTTTGAACTTTGATCTGTCTCCACATCCTCCATAGCAGCTTAGTGTGTTGTTATTAGACTCCTGTGCAGCTCTTGCTAGCTGGTAGAGGTTTCTGCTTAACTCTTCACCGTTTCTCCAGTTTGCCCATCCCCTGTCCAAAGGAGTGAGGCCAGCTAGGAGCCAGTATTTTAGCTATTTCTCTACAGGGTTTGTCTAGACATAACTTTCTGTTACTCAGTAGAGGCTGAGGACTCGGAATGACTCGAGGAATGGGTTTCTGTGCCCTAGGATTAGGTCTTTATTATAATGTCATTGCCATGTATCTGTTGTAGATTGATAACTTTTCAGGTCCAAGGAATAGCTACATCAGAATYACCAAAGGACTTGGTAACCTACAAGTTCCTGAGTTCTTATCCAAAGTGGGGCTTGAGAATCTGCATATTCAGTAGGATCCCTCCACCATTCCCAGTCTTCTGCAACTATGTGGCAAAACAACAATGAAGCTGGTCCAGCTCTCTGACCACAAATCCTGTGCCCCACCCAACCCTCATTTCCCCTATGCCCCTCACCCCTGCACCGCACACACAGCACTATCTTCCTAGCTCAGTGGTCTCTGGAGAACTCCAAGCCTCTTGTAGATATTCTTTTCTCACTGTCCTGGAGGTGATACAGAAGGGAACCTTTGGGAGGTAATAGTAATTTCTGTATCTTAATTGGATTGGTTATATAGGTTCATGGACTTGTCAGATCATTTTATGTATAAAATGTATTCAAGTATAAATCATTTCAAATTTTTAGAATATAAAAGTGAGTGCCGTTGTAGTTGGGTAACAGTTGCCTTGCAGACAGGAAAGAGCTTCCTGAGGGGAGGGATGGCGGCATGCAACAAGCCATCTGCATCCTTAACGGTGTTACTTCCTATTCCAGACAGACCAGTGCACTGGACTCCAGGGCTTCCTGGTCTTCCATAGCTTTGGAGGTGGCACTGGCTCAGGCTTTACCTCTTTGCTGATGGAGCGGCTTTCTGTTGACTATGGCAAGAAGTCCAAGTTGGAATTTGCTATCTACCCAGCCCCTCAAGTGTCCACGGCGGTTGTAGAGCCCTATAATTCCATCTTGACCACCCACACCACCCTGGAGCACTCAGACTGTGCCTTCATGGTAGACAACGAGGCCATCTATGATATCTGCCGCCGCAACCTGGACATCGAGTGCCCAACCTACACCAACCTCAACCGGCTCATTGGCCAGATTGTGTCCTCCATCACTGCCTCCCTGCGTTTTGATGGTGCCCTCAATGTGGACCTCACGGAATTCCAGACCAATCTGGTGCCCTACCCCCGCATCCACTTTCCCCTGGTGACCTACTCGCCCATTGTTTCGGCTGAGAAGGCCTATCATGAGCAGCTCTCCGTGTCAGAGATCACCAATGCCTGCTTTGAACCCTCCAATCAGATGGTCAAGTGTGACCCCCGCCATGGCAAGTACATGGCCTGCTGTGTGCTCTATCGTGGAGAAGTGGTGCCCAAGGACGTGAGCGCAGCCATTGCCTCCATCAAGACCAAGCGCACCATCCAGTTTGTAGACTGGTGTCCTACAGGTTTCAAGGCAAGTTGGGTGGGGAAGGTCCCATTCACCTGGGACCTGCGTTACTACAGAGAAAGATTCCTGTAGAGTTGTAGGCATAAAGGACAACGCACTGGGGGTGGGGAGAATAAGGCAAACAGCAGTTCTATGGCTCCCTGTAACTGATAGGTCTCAACTGGTCTAGAAGCCAGGGTGGGTTCTACTTAGAAGACTGACTTCATGAAAGGAAAAGTATCTATTTTGTGTCACTTAGGCTAACAAACAGCATTCCCTAGACGTGCCAGTCAAGTTAGGGAGACCGGCCTCCTTGTTCACATGTACCAGGGACATAGCCACAGGACACAGCCTGTTCAGAAGGGATAGCTTTTGGAAGCACAGAAAAGCCCACCCCCAGATTTTGGGAGAACCATGGGTCAGAAAGCTTCTGGAGTTCTGTGCCTATGAATGTAGTCACTTTTACAGTGAAACGCTACTCATTTAGGCCCCACCCTATTGTCGGTTCACATTCCCAAGATACTGGGCATATGACCTAGTTTAAGTTTTATGGACTTTGCTCTAGGGTAAGACTCAGGAAATATTAAAGGTGGCAGCTATGACATTAGAAAACATACAGCCTTCTTACCCTACGACACTTGTGACCAAAACAGTCAGGGACATGATGACTGCTGATCATAAAGGTAATAATAGCTGCTTGCTATTATTATTATTAGAGTGCTGTAGCTCAGTATGCAAAATGAGGGGTATTATGCAAAATGAGGGAGCGAGGCAGACTATTTCTTTCTTCCAAGAACATACACTCAAAGGAAGAAATAGACTGTTTTCAGGAAGCGGTAGGCTTGCTGTCACTAGAGACAATAATGGGAAGTCGACCATTTTGCAGGTACCTGTTGGGTATTTTTGTTTTGTACTAGGGCTTAAATTCAGGGGTGCTCTACCACTGAGCTGCATTCCCAGCCCTTTGTATTATTTCAAGAAAGGGTGTCATTAAGTTTCCTGGGCCGGCTTTGAATGCAATCCTCCTGCCTCAGCTTCTCCAGTCACTGGGGTTACAGGCATGCACCATGCACCCAGCTGATCAGTGTTTAAAGTAGGTTAGATTTAGATCCAACAAGAGATCTTTAGGATGTTCTATTTTTTATTTTTATTTTTTTTAACTATTGAGTTTCTACACTATAGGAAAAGACACTAGTAAAATTTAACAACCACATGCCTGCTACACGGTTTTAACATCTAGATATATTTTCTTTATTTTTGCTTTGCTGACCCACTTAACCCCACTTCAGTAGCAGTATAACAAACCCATTTTTATGCCTCATGAGATTAATAGTACTTCCCCCAAATAAGAATACCTAATCAGTTAAGAGGGTCCTTGTACAGACCCCTCCCAGGGCGCAAAACCAGGTAGTTAGACTACTTTCTGTTTCTTCTTAGGTTGGCATCAACTACCAGCCCCCCACAGTGGTACCTGGGGGTGACCTCGCTAAGCTGCAGCGGGCAGTGTGCATGCTGAGCAACACCACAGCCATCGCTGAGGCCTGGGCCCGCCTCAACCACAAGTTTGACCTGATGTATGCCAAGCGTGCATTTGTGCACTGGTATGTGGGTGAGGGCATGGAGGAAGGAGAGTTCTCTGAGGCCCGAGAGGACCTGGCTGCCCTGGAGAAGGATTATGAAGAAGTGGGCTCAGAGTCTATGGATGGCGAGGATGAGAGCGAAGAGTTCTAGGCCCCTGGCCCCTGCCACACCTGGTGTCTCGCTCCCAGTTTTTTCTCTCATTCTAGTGTCTCTCCAACACCCTGCAAATATAATTGATGTCTCCAGTGGTGTGGGTTTCTGATGTGGAATTCTGTACAGGCAGAGGGCCTTCCCATTATTATCATTTATCATCCTTGCTGAAGGAGAAGGCTGGTGATGACCTCCAGGGACTCCAGCTAGGGATGTGTGCAGGAGGGTTGGCACTGCATCGTTCTGTTAGCAGACTACCCTGAAAATATGCACTGGTTCAGCCCTGGGCTGGCCTGCTTCAACTTCATGTGGGTCCCTCACTAAGTTGCTAAACTGGCTTTGAACTCACCATTCTCCTGCCTCAGCCTCCCAAGCTGCCCCCAACATTGTGGGGCAGAAGTTGCTCCATTTCAGTGTTTGGAAGGAATCAAGCCTTTTTTAAGCATGTCCTCCTCATGGCCAACAGAGGGCAGTAGAGGTTGCACTCAGGCCAGTCTGCAGCAGCCATCTTAAAATTTAGGGCTCTACTTTGATGCCTTACAAAGACACAGGGTCCAAGATATTAGATTTAAAAAAAAAAAAAAAAAGGCTGTTAGCCTGAAGCTATGAACATGTAAAAATTTTTAAAGGTACTTATGAGCCTTTTAGGCAAGAAAATCTGTATCTTTATTCTCAAAGGAGTCCCTAATAAGGAAGTTAGGAACTGTTCTAGGGGTTAGCCATATCTGGTCACATATGGTCTTAGGGATCAGTGTATTAGTCAGTAAAAAGATCTGGCAGTAGCTAAAGGCTAAACAGATGGCACGGCCCAGGCTCAAAGAAGCATCGCTTTAATAATGAGCTTGACACGTCCCCTTTAACCAGGCCGAGGTGGTAGACTTGTGTGCTCTGAAAAGGTAGTGAATCTCCAGGGACCCCAGCTCTGTTCTTGGCAAGACCACACCGAACAGACCCCTCCCCCATATCCCTTGGCTTGAATATACCTGCTGAGTGTCAGACACTCAATTCTAGCATGTGACTCAGGATGTGTGTCTGCTTTTTTAAAGCACCACTGAGCCTTGGAGCTGCCTGGAAATGTCTCCTGTGACCTCACTTTGGGTCAGGAGATTAGTGTTAATGGAGAGATCCATAGCAAGCATCTGTGAGCCTTGCCTGGTTGGTGCCTGCAGGGCTTTGCTGAGAGGTTGATAGACCCCAGGCCTGCAGATTTTGACCCCTTCCGAGGAGTGGTATTGTTGAATCATGGCTGTGGGCCTGGGAGATTGTTGTTTTCTGGTGTTCTATGTCTCTCCGTTTTTCCATCTTTCTCTGTGATTGTAGCTCTGAGTATAGAGATCTGACAGTCTCCTGCTTGTTTTTTTTCCCCCCTTTTCCCTCAGTCCTCATAATCCCAGAAGACAAGACTCAGCCTACTTTATTCTTTTGTCTTCATTTCCTGAAAACTCAGCTCTGGCATCATTTTGTGCTTTCCTGGCTCGTGTCCTCCCCTTTTCCAATTTAAGTCAGATCTCCCTGCTACAGCTGTTGACTTTCTATTTTAGAATCTTTTCCAAAACCATTTGTGGTGGACAACCTCCTGATTCCCCTTGCACTCAAAGGGCTGTAGTTGGAGGAGGAATTGGGTGTAAGGAAAGAGAGATGAGGCAAGCCTCCTTATTAAGGTGCCTATTAGCCGGGCACTGTGGCATGCCTGTAATCCCAGCGGCTCTGAAGGCTGAGATACTTGAGAAGTATCACAAGTTCAAAACCAGCCTCAGCAACTTAGCAAGGCCCTAAGTAACTCAGTGCAACTCTGTCTCTAAATAAAATATTTAAAAAGGGTTGGGGATGTGGCTCGGTGGGTAAGCGTCTCTGGGTTCAATCTCCAGTATCAAAAAAATAAAGTGCCTATTAAAGGATATGCATTTGTTTACCTGTTCTGCCAGTAGCATTACCCAGCAACCAAGAAGCTGATTTTTTTCTTCTTTCCCSGCTTTTCCCTTACTGGCTCCTGACTTTATACATGCTAGCAGTTCTAACTCAGTTAGTGCAAACTATGGGAGAGACTACGTTCGCCTTCCAGGTGCCTGAGGCAAGGGGAAGGACACCATCCATCAAGAACTAGACACCTAACTTTAGCAGTCTTATTCAACTCTGTAGAGTCAATCGGTTACAACTGAGAGGAATGATAGGTGATTTATTTGGATAAACTAGCAGGTGCCATCCTCCTCATAGCACCCAGGTAGAGTGGACTATTGAGGAGCCCTGATGGGGTGAAGATGGAGAACATGAATTCTTGCTTTGGATATTGTGATAAAAATGGTGGATAATTGTAGTTTGGGTCTTATCAAGTATTCTCCTTGAAGGATAAATGTGAAGTAAGCATTGTCTATAGGAGTTCTTACTGGAGCCAGTAGCAAGTGGACTCTGGCCCTGACCATAGCCGGGTCTCAACCTAGATGACCTCCTGYAGGCGCCATCACCTTCCCCTTGAAACTGCCCTAGGACTGAGGAGCCCATGCAGGGTTGGCTCCATGGAGTCCTTGGAAGGCAGGGTGGCTGTTCTAGTGATCTAGCACCAAAGACTAGGGGGATTGGCTAAATGAGAAGGAGGACCAGCATCCTCTGCAGAGTGCCTGTCCCAGATGAAAATCAACACGAAAAAACTTTCTGCCATCCAGAAATATATAGATGGGATGGGAGAGTGTTTCTTTTTCTCTGTGGTGCAGACGTTCACTAAGCTTCATCTGGTTGTTGTTGGGTTTTTTTGTTTTGTTTTGTTTTTGGTGGTGGGGGAGATAGTCAACCACTGAGCCACATCCCCAGCCCAGTTTTATATTTCATTTATATTTTATTCAGAGACAGGGTCTCACTGAGTGGCTTAGCACCTTGCTTTTTTTTTTTTTTTTTTTTTTTTTGAGGCTGGCTTTGAGCTCCCCATCCTCCTGCCTCAGCCTCCCAAGCTACTACTGGAATTATAGGCGTGCGTCACCACTCCTGGCCTTTACCTGGTTTTCTCACTGTTTCTTCACCGACAGATACTCTGGGCTATGTCTGAGGTATAGAATCTTAGACTTGACTGCTCCAGAGATGTATAAACTTGTTTTCTTTTGAATGTATTTGACAGCTGTCTGCCTGGATAAAGTATGTTGGTTTTCTGTCACTCAAACAAAATACCTGAGATAATTGATAAAAAGAAAAGGCTTATTTTGGCTCGTTTCAGAGGTTCCAGATCATGGATTTGTTAGCCTATGGCAAAGCAGCCTGTCATAGCAGAAGTGTGGCAGAGCAAAACCACTGACCTCTTAGCCAGAAAGCAAGAGAGGAAGGAACCAGAGTCCCATAATCCTCTTCAGGGACATATTCCCAATGACCAAAGGACTTCTCACTAAGTCCCAACTCTCAGAGTTTAACCATCTGCCAGTAGTGCCACTGTGGGGACCAGGCCTTTAACACATGTGCCTTTGGGGGACATTCAAGGTCCAAACTACAGCTACAGCGGTGAGAGAAGGGATCTTGTGGTCTGGCTGTTCCTTTGGGAAGGCTTCTGCCAGTCTTCCAGTTCTCAGCTCAGCCCTGCCTCCTTCAGCACTTGCCAGGGTTTTTCATCGAGTTCCTCATCTTCTGGATCCTGTGGCATTAATCATCTTGCTTCCTGCAGGCATTCAGTCTTGTGTGCCAGTCCTTCTGCCATAATGAGGTATCGATCTGCTCTCTCCTCTTCCTTCTTCCTTAAAGCTCAGAATTGGGATGAGATCCATGTTCAGTGTGCCTAGGAAGCCCCAGCATCGCCAAGGGGAGGCTTCCCGAAGGATTGGCTTTTGAATCAGGTAGTAGAGATGGATTGGGGTACWGGGCAGGGTATTCAAGGCAGGAAAGGTATGAAAAACATGAACACATTCTATTCAAGTGACATTGAATAGTTTAAAATTTGGGATGGAAGGAGGAGAAACTAGAAAAAAAAGGTACAGAACTGAATGACCTTGGTTTTTATTATGGTTTGGATTTTTTTTTAAGTACTGGAGATTAAGCCCAGGAACACTCTACCATCCTCAACCCTTTTTATTTTGCCCAGGATTGCCTAATTTGCAATTCCCCTACCTCACCTCTTTCATAGCTGGGATTGTAGGTGTGAGCCACCACTCCCAGCCATGGCTTGGATCTTAAATGTCCATAGAGCTGATGGGTTGAAGGCTTGGTTCCCAGTGCAGCAGTGTTCAGAGGTGGAGGCTTTTGGGAGGCCTTAGAATCATGAGGGCTSTAACTTCATAAATAGATAAATTTATTTATGGACTCAAAGCTCCCGCTTTGGAAAGCAAGCTCTCTGCTTACTGGCTGCCATGAGATGAACCATTTGTTCTACATGCACTCTCCACCACGATGTTCTGATTTGCTATGAGCCCATAGCAACAGGGCCAGGTGACCTTGGGCTAAAACCTCTGAAACTGAGCCACAATAACTTTCCTCCTTTTCAAGTTGTTTAATCTCAGGTTTGTTTTTGTTTTTGTTGGCAGGGGCACTCAACCACTGAGCCACATCCCCAGCCCTCCCACCCCCATACCTTTTTTTTTTTTTTTAATTTAGACACAGGGTCTCAATGAGTCGCTTAATGTCGTGCCATTGCTAAGGCTGGCTTTGAACTCRCAATCCTCCTGCCTCAACCTCCCAAGCCACTGGGATTATAGGCATGTGCAGCACCACGCCCTGCTTATCTCAGGTATTTTAACACAGTGACAGCTGACCAACAGCTGTGGTGGTGCACACCTGTAATCCCAGTGACTTAGCCGGCTAAGGCAGGAAGATCACAAGTTCAGAGCCAGCCTGGGCAACTTAGCAAGACCTTGTATCAGAAAACAAAAGGGACGTATAGTGGTAAACAGTGGCAGAACACGCCTGGGTTCAATCCCCAATACCAGTGGGGGAAAAAAAAAAGCATACCAGTTTTGTGTTTCTTTTTCAAATATTGAGCAATTACTGTGTGCCGTAGATGATTCTAGAGGGCCATTGGGGATCAGAAGAAT